ATTTTTGTCTCTTTTAAGCGTTATAATTTTTTAACCCTATATAGCGCCATACTGAATAGAGAAATCGAAAAAAAAAAACAGATGTGCACAACTTCAATCCTTCTTTTATCTAAAATCAGTAGAATTTTTGCTCCAGCTTTAGCCGTCTCTGAGCCTGTGTCTGGAAACGAAAGCCTATAAATTTTCGTGTAAAGGGAAATAACTCAGGACCGGAAGTGACTTTTTAAAATTTTAGAGGCCATTCTGATAGAATTTAGTAACTACCAGTATCTCTGAAAATTTGAGCAAATTCCATTTAGTAATGAGTGAGATATGAAGCTTGAAAGTTGGCGTCTAGGAAGTAGAAGAAAAAAAAAGAATAATAATCTTTGGAAACGGAAGACCTTAATTACTCCATATAACCAATGAAATCAACAGTTACTAAGAATTAACTGAGGAGTCTGGTAAGGTATTATTTCTGTGACCACCCTCTCGATTGGTTGACACCCCCTTTGGTTGCTTTCCAGGGGTAAACATTGTCTGCTTACCGATAACACCATGACCACTATGTACTGTTCAGGTACAAAAAAAAATTCCACATTCTCAATTATTGCTTAGACTTTTGTCTGGAAATGTTAGTAAAAAGGAGACGATAGGGTGCAGTGTACTTAGAAACAATATGCTGGTCACCTTATTAAATTTGTGAAATGCTGAATGAGCGAGATTTTCAAAACTCTAGCTTCATCAACAAAGTAGTAGGTATGCAGAAAGTCAATAAAGACACAAAAACAAAAAGTTCTCAAATATTTTTTGTGTCGGATTTTGTGGTGTCATAACCAACCTTCTCAAAAAAAAATTAACATTTTGTTTTTTTTTTTACAAAAAAAAATCTACCTGTTGTGTTATTATATTTTGCTATATCCAAATGGGTATATTTTTTTCTCGTAAATGGTAAGGGAAGTTACTCAAATATTCTAACAGTTATAGGTCACAGATATTTTGGATTTCATTTGTGCTCCTTTTCATCTGAATTTCAAACTTAACATAAAAATACGTATCACAAACTGCAAATGCTGTAAAATCTGAAAGAGTCTGTTGCCGACTTTTTCAATTTATAAAAGAATTTCGTCCTCATTCAAGCGGTGTCGTTTTTCTCGATAAATCATTTCCTAGGAATTAACACAGTTACGGCATTTCCTAGAAACGAAAGTAAAAAATACGTCAGGAACGTTATAGACAGCTTGTTTCAGGAAAATATCTATTAAAGTAGAACTATTTAATTATTCATTCAAAAAGTAGTCTGTAAGCTGGAAAGACAGCAAAGATAGCTCCGGCTGCTTGGTGCACGCGAACTCTAGATTTTATTGATGCAGTAGTTATCAAAACAATTTTTTATTCAATCGGAATCAAGTTTTTTATGAAAATTTTAAATGATATTGTTATGAATTTAAATATAACTCATGAAAAATGAAAAGAAACATGTTAATATAAACCAAAACAAATCTTTTTATTTTGTTATTCTGTATCTCTCATTTGGATAAAAATCGACGAACGATAACGACAGCAGACAACTTTGGAATTTATTATGTATTGTAAAGAGAATTTGGCTAAGACGGCATTTGCAATGACAGATGAAAGAGGGTTTAGGAGCAAATATTGTGAATATTAGTATTTTCTTTTATTCATACGGAGTTAGATTTTATAAAACAGGTACAATGTATGTTCATTTATTTTCATCGATTTTTTTTTCTCTCGAAGACCGTCTGTTATATAATTTTTCGCATCCCGGTCGATCTTTCCTCTGTAATTCGTGACAAAAAAATGCCGTAGAAAAACAGTTATCTGGATATTTCTAAAGATAAGATTTGAACAGATCGAAATCTTGCCTTCTAAAATACTTGGAAGATGCTGTAGAATCCCTTTAAGGGGGACATATGTCGTTCTACGTCAAAGCAGCGTTTTGTGACGTTACAATATCAACGTTTGTTTTACCTGTTGATTTTTGCACTGTTATATTAGCCCCTTCATGCATATGATAAATGTGGTACATGTACTAAATTTTTGCAGGGGAAAATAACAACGTTTGGCAAAGTTTTCTTTTGACAGATAATTAAATGACATATATTAAACAATTACTTTTACGTCATATTTTACCAAACTATATTATTTTGTCCTACAAAAGAGAAGTACGGCAGTTACCATGAAACAGTCTAAAGGCATTGTTAATAATCAAAAACATACACAATTTACAAAAAGAAAATCTCTACATCATGAATAAGTTTTTTTTTATTAATTGAGATTGTTAATATTAGAATTCTTTTCATTCGATTGATAATTCATAACAAGAACACCTCGATGGTATGCTGATGTATAGGTGCAAAAAGATAAGATTTAATTCAGCAAAGAAAGTGGCCTAAATCAGTTTTTTATTCAGATGTTTGTCAGTACTTACTTACCTTTTTTGTGCAGAAAGGTTAATATTTTTGACACAAGAGTACGAAAAAAAAACTTTATATTTCTCGTTTATTTTATCATAAAGGTATACTTTTTTCCTTGTTAAAATAAAGAGATAAATCATTTTGAATAGTTTGTTAAGTTGTTAATTATTTGAAAGCTTAACTTCCTTAACAAACCTGCGTGAATATTCCATATATGTACATCTGAAATTTTGTATTCAATTATTTTTGACGAACTTTAAAATAATATTATGAACAAAGTTTAACTTGTCAAGTTTCGAGTTTTAAATAAAGTCAAACAAATGAAACATTCAATTAAAAAAAAAATAAATAAATGCCTTATGACATAATGATAATAATAGCCGAATCACCAATCTTATATTTGTTTTAAGGGGCAGTCTTCCAAGAAAAAAAGCAGTGTTGTTTTAATAAGCGACATGTCGAATATGACGGATATCTAATATTTTGTATAAAAAAAATTTAAAGGATCAGAGGTCAGATGTAGGTATTAATTAGCTACATCAAATGATAATTAAAAGATTCTGCAAAAGATTGGAATTTTTGTTTAAGTGCATAAGAAATAAAAAAAAATGTACTCAAGATCAGAATAATAGTTATCAAAATTCAAAGTAAATTAAAAATAATTATGGCAATTTTTTAAAGAACAAATATGGTGATGAACGACTTCAGGCATAATTAATGATTGTTTTTAAATTTTGTGTGAGTTATTGATGTGTGAATCACACAGACTTGTCACGTAGGCATATTTCATGACGCGCTTCATGAAAATCATGCCTAAGTGCGAGTCTGTGTGATTCACACACTAATAATCCACACAAAACTTAAAAACATTCCTTATATTTACATTTTACATGTTTGGAAGCAACTAAAATATATCAAAATTTGAATTTCTCGCAGCCCTATATCGTTGCATTTTACTAACGCTGCAGCCTTATTTTGACGTCACGTTAACGCACGTTTCTCCGTGTACATTTATACGCGTGAGTATACACAAAAATGGTTTTCAAATCAATTTCACAGTTTGCTAAGTAGAAAAACACGGAGAATGTAAATATTAAAGAGTTGAAAGATAACCGTGTTTCCCCGATTTGGGGGGATCAATGTTATTTTTTGGTACCCGGTACTTTTTTCAAAAATTAAATAAAGCTGAAAGACAGGGTCGTGTATGTAAGGCAAACATTTTTTTATTTAAAAAAACTACAAAAATGAAGAAAACAATCCAGTCACAAATGAAAGAAAAAAAAATCTTCAAATACTGTACGCGTACTTAAAAAAGGGGGTTTCATATCGTAGCGGCTGTGGCGCGAAAAAGAAGCTAAGAAATCAATTACTAAGAAAAAACAAGGCATGAACATGTGTAGCGCTTACGATTCATGATTACGTTTACAACTCCTTACTTCTTGATTCCGCTAACACCCAGTCCATATACATGTACAGTAAACATGTATATTGTACTAATCCCAAAAAGGTGAGATTACATGTACCTTGCCCCTTTCCATCTTTTACTCCTTTCATTATAATTATAAACATTACTAATGAATGTTTAATTTAATAAAGAGTGAAAAATAAACCGTGACTGTCTTGGATGGATTTTATACCGGTTGAGTAACATCTGTACTTCCCAACACCTCTCAAACGCTTGGGTCAGGGAAGGTCCTGAGATTTAGAAGGAATTTGGAATTGATTGAAATCGAGTAATCTTATAAAATAAAATGCTGACTTGAATCTTTCTCATCCAGCTCAAGGATTATAAGAGTTATTCCACTGTGTGTCCTCTCACTGAAATAGTCACGATCCCGGTTTATAGAACAAAGTCATGCTTAGCCAAATGTCAATCTGGATTCTGCCTCCTCAAACTTTGGTAGTTGAGGTTTAACAAAAATGTTTTAAGGCCGGAGTCAAGAATGAGATTGGTCCTTTTATAATAAACATGTATCAATGAGGTCAAAAAATAAGTTAGTGTATTTAAAAAATAATTTCTCTTTATTTTTTCTATTGTCCAGAATCACAATATTATTAAAGTTTTCTTTCATCGAACACCTAGATTGATCTAAATCATTGGATAGTGAGAAATTGTCTATACCCGTATATGATTGGGTCACACATTACCGTTATGCTTATAAAAAGACCTCAACATTCAATGAAAAATGATTGCAGATTAATTTAAAACTAGTAAAAATATTAAATTTTATCAACTGATGATGATTTTACCATATTTTACCATATTAAAGTACATGTAATTGAAAACCAAAAAAAGTCATCTATTAAACGGTATCTAATTAAATATAATTTCACTTACTCACCAGAAGAACTACAGAATTAACATGACGCATTACACTGCAAAAACCAGAATTTAAGTCTTCGGGAACGGAGGAAGCGTTAATTTTTTAATGGATAATAATGAAATTTTGGAAATTGTCAACTCTATTAATTACTTGGGACTATTTTTAAACAATAACGGTTAATAGGATTTAACTCATTTAAGTTAAATCGGTTTATCAAAGCTAAATAGCGTTAATGTCTTTTTTGGGGTTTGTCGGGTTTTTAGCCACCTGTAGCTCTGCAGCAGGGATAAGCGTGAAATGTGACGTCACGGCCACCCTGCAGTCTCCCTGCATATCTTGACTTGTACGGTGTAGCATTCAGCACGTGGAAGTTCATCAAAAGGAAGGACTGTGTTTTTGTGTAAAAGTATTGCACGTTTTTCTGTCCACTGCTACTTAGACTGGATTTAGTTGTTAATTTATTCAAAACAAAACAAAATGCCGAAGAGGAAGGCCACTTCGTCTTCCGTAGTTTCTGAGACACCGGCACAGGATAGGCCCAGATCACGCAAGAGACCCCAGACGCAGACCGAGGCCAGGGAAAGTCACGTCCCCATGTCGTCTCGGACACAGATGCCCAACGAAGGACAACCCGGTACACCAGCAATTCTGACTGACGCTCAGATGAGGGCTATAACAGACGCAATATCGGCGGGGCTAGCCGACAGGGGACCTCAACCGTCACCTATTCCTGTCGTAGTCACGGATCCTCCTGTTGGTGACCAAAACGGGCAAGGTAATGATGTTTTTGATTCAATTTGTTCAGATTTTTCGGAGGTGAATGAACATCATACAGGGCTTGTGCCCAGTTATAGTTTTGAGCTGGGATGTAATGTCTCTAATAAGATCAAAGTTCAAATTTCAAGCGGGCAGTACGTAAATCTAGCAAAATTGGCGACTAATTTCTCAGACCCGGATGACGAAACGCAGTACTTTTCATTTAAAGAGGGCAATCTGGCAATGACCCCAAAGAACAAGGTCAAGGCTATTACGGATATCCAAGTCTGGACAAATCTTTTTCTTGTATATTCGTCTATTTATGTGACTGCACACCCAGAATGCGCCACTGCCCTATTAAAATATATGCACACAATCCGTTTAGGTGCTAGTAGGTCATCGGGACTTGGTTGGCGTGATTATGATATCCAATTTCGCCTAAGAAAAGGGCAGAACCCCAACATTTCTTTTGCTAACGTTGACCAGGAATTATGGTTGTTGTATATGCAGCCCCCTGCAACACCCAACAATTATTACACCAAAGATCAAGGAAACAAATGCTATGATTTTAATTTTCGGGGTTCTTGTCAAAAAAGACCATGTTTTTATAAGCATCTATGCATGCGTTGTTCACTCAACCATCCGTCTATCAAATGTTCATTAAATTTACCTGCAAATCGTTTCAGCTTTAAGCCCACAGTTCAACAGTCATCTGGACGGGCCTACTCGGCAACAGCCACAAACAATGCAAGACCAGTGCAGCCATTTAGACATTAGTAACAGAGCTACTACCCCTATTCAGATTTCCCAATTAGACAATTATTTAAGTTTTTACCCAGACCAACACACAGCAGCCGAATTATTGCAGGGGTTTTCACAAGGTTTTAAACTCGGTTACAAAGGTCCGAGACAAGCAACAGATTGTCACAACCTCAGATCATTAGAGGGCCTAGAGCATGAAGCAATAAAACTAATTAATAAAGAAATTTGTTTAGGCAGGGTGGCGGGACCTTTTCCTTCTACACCTTTAGTTAACCTTAGGCTATCACCAGTAGGTCTAGTGCCCAAGAAGGACGGATCTTTTAGACTTATTCATCATTTGTCATATCCAGCAGGGTCTAGTGTTAATGACTTCATTGATAAAGATGATTGTTCTGTAAATTATACGTCCTTTGATGTCGCCCTTGATATGTTGGCTAAGTTGGGGAGGGGAGCTTTGATTGCACGTTTGGACATAAAAAGCGCATTTAGACTTTTACCTATACATCCTGATGAATTTGAATTGTTAGGTTTTAAAGTCCAAGGTAAAGTTTACATTGATATGTGTTTACCTTTTGGCTGTGCAATAAGCTGCGCAAAGTTTGAAAAATTTTCAACATTTTTAGAGTGGGCCCTTAGGGAAAAGTCTGGAAGTAGTAACGTCGTACATTATTTAGATGACTTTTTGTTAGCTGGACAAGCAGGCACTCAGGACTGTGCAAATCTTATGTCATGCTTTAGCTCAATTTGCTCAGACCTAGGTGTTCCATTAGCTCAAGAAAAAACAATAGGTCCTACTCCAGTTTTGACTTTTCTTGGGTTAGAAATTGATACTATTAACATGACAATAAAAATTCCACAGGAAAAATTGTGTCAACTTAAGACTGAGTTAAATGCTATGTTGGATAAAAAGAAGGCTACCCTCACAGAATTACAGAAACTAACAGGGTTGCTAAATTTTTGTGTTAGGGCTATACCATCAGGTAGGGCATTTGTTCGTAGACTGTATGACGCTACTCGTGGCTTGACAAAGCCTTATCATCGACGTAGAGTTTCAGCTGAGATGAAAAAAGACATTCACACATGGCTGTTATTTCTAGATTTATTTAATGGGGTGACTTCTTATCAGACAGTCGACTGGACTGCAGACTTCGACCTTCAGTTATTCACAGATAGTGCTGGTCATGCAGACTTGGGGTGTGGGGCCATCTTTGAGTCTCATTGGGCTTACATGGTGTGGCCACAGAAATGGAGGCATTCAAATATTTTTAAGCAGGTCACATTTTTAGAGTTAGTACCTATTGTTATGGCATTTACCATTTGGGGTGAGAAATTTCAAGGGAAAAAGGTCATTTTACATACTGACAACAAAGCCCTAGTATCAATATTGAATTCCAAGACATCAAAATCTAAGCAAATCATGCAATTACTTAGACCTTTAGTATTACAAGGATTGTTGCATAACATTCTCTTTAGGGGGGAACATATAGATGGTGTAAAAAATGTTAAAGCTGACTCTCTTTCCCGACAGCAATGGTCAAGATTCAAAGAGTCCTTTCCGGATGCCGACAAGCAGCAAACGGAGGTACCCCTCACATTTCAGCAACAGATCTACAGCATAGATCTCAAGTCCTGTTAAATCAGTCCTTAGCAGATAATACCAAAAAATTGTACAGCTCAGCGATAAACATGTTCAATGCATTTAGAACGAGTTACAACCATCAGATATCCTGGCCCCGCAATTCATTGCATTTTTGTCACTTCGTCATTACAGCTCTAGTACAGTTAAATCATATTTAGCAGCAATTTCTTACTATTGTAAAATATCAGGCATTCCCGACACAACACAGTCTTTTGTTGTTCAGAAAACACTGTCAGGCCTTTGTCGCTCCAAGAAACAGTTAGACAATCGCAAACCCATTACTAAGGATATACTACACAGAATGCTTGACAGACTTCCGGTAGTCTGTTCGTCACACTATGAAGCTACCCTTTTCTCAGCTATTTTCACAACTGCATTTTTTGGGTACTTTAGAATGGGGGAGCTTGTCCAAAACAGCCGTAGGGAAGTAGGACATGCTATCCAAATTCAGGATGTTAAGTATTCAAAATCAAGTGACCGCATTCAAATTTATCTTGGTCATTTAAAGACTGACCAGGAGGGCAAGGGTGCAGTCATAAACTTAATTCCAACATCTATGATTATATGCCCAGTTCAGTCACTTAAAACATTTATAAGAGTTAGACCACTGCAACTTGGCTCTTTCTTTTGCCATGCCGATGGCACCCCAGTTACAAGATATCAGGTTATGTCAGTATTTTCAATGCTTATTGCCGATTTAGGGCTAGATACCCAAGCATACAAGACACACTCATTTCGTATAGGGGCAGCTACAGAAGCTTGGGTTCAAGGCAAAGGGGAGGATCAAATTGCAAAAGGGGGCAGGTGGAAATCTAGATGTCTGTATAAATATATAAGGTGTTAACTAGGATAACCTGTTTCATCGGAGTGTTAGTATGTTATAACGGGGCAGACTTATTATAATCATTTTTCTAGTCCTTAATAACGAATTCTATATGTCATTGTAGATCACAAGAGAATTTGGATTGTAGGATCCTCAATAGTTAAGCATGCCTTTTTGCATGCCCGCTCCTCCTCATTTGGGTCAAATCTCCAGTTAATTAGACACAATGCTTCAGTATTTTGGCAAGGGAAGGGGGGTATGAAATGGAACCAAGTCTACACCAAAGTCCGGACTCTATTGAAAATTGAGGACCCACCTCACTTTCTTGTAATACACTGTGGGGGGAATGATATTGGTCAAGACGGTAAGTGCGTAATGCTTCGCAATAGTATTAAAAGAGGTCTGATAAAAATACAGAAGCTGTTACCCTAAACTACATTAGTCTGGTCGCAAGTATTACCCAGGCTACACTGGCGTGGGGAAGTGGACCATACGGCTTTAGAGCGGGCTAGAGTACGTCTAAATAGTTTTGTAGCAACACACATCCTTAAACTCGGGGGGAAGTATATTAGATACCCGGAGCTCAGATATGCATGTCCAAATCTCTTTAAAGACCAAGTTCACCTTAACTTCTTGGGCAATAGTCTGTTTCTTCATAGAATACAGCAATCATTGCAATATTTCTTAACCAATCCTGAAATATCAGTAACCCCAAAGGTAGGCGATCATGGACCATGGCTGCATTATTTCTGAGGTCAAAATCTTGATGAAATATACTACAGAATTGGTTAATATCACATCAATTTGAAAAAGGAAGTATATGTATATCAGTGATATTTTTATTACGATATGTTGTTTATTATGATTTTGGTTTAAATTAGCGCAGTTAGGGCATGTATTGGGTAGCAAGTTTTCTCTTTTAGATAGTTAGGATATTATTATTGTTATTAATGTATGCTGCCTCCCCCCGGTTTTATCAGTTTGCTTTTGCTAGGAGGCTGTATTATTAGCAAAATTGTTGCTTGCTCAGACAAAGTAAATTGTTGTTGGTCTACATTTGAACTTGTGGTATGGTATGGCAATAATGTGTCACTTTGTCTGTTTTTAAGTAAAATTGTCGCGGGTTTTCATATGCGTGTGGTGTTCACTGATTGATGTTGTGACACGATTTTATTTTGGGGAGAATTGCTTGTCCCCAGTTGCATTTTGTGTGATTGAGTTCACTGATTGATGACGTGACATAAATTTTCTTTTGGGAGATTGATTAGCTCCCATTTTTCATTTTGTGTTTTGGCATTCACTGATTGATGATGTGATGCAAATTTTTGTTTTGGGGAGTATGTTTGGCTCCCATTTGCAATTTGTATGTTTGTATTCACTGATTGATGATGTGATGCCAATTTTTGTTTTGGGGAGTATGTTTGGCTCCCATTTGCAATTTGTATGTTTGTGTTCACTGATTGATGATGTGACGCAAATTTTTGTTTTGGGGAGATTGTTTGGCATCCATTTCTTAGTCGTGGTTTGGTGTTCACCGATTGATGACGTGACACTGTCTTTGTTGGGATGCCCTAATAAAGCAACGTGTTGCTGGCTCCCTTTTGTGTTGCCGCAAAGTGTTCACTGATTGATGACCTGGTCACAGCGTTTCGTTTTTGTTTAGTAGCCCTATAGGTAGTCGTTTTGGTTCAGGGGTTCATAGGCTATGTTTGCTAACATTTTCATCATGTGAGAGTTTTGGTGTGTAATTTTTAGGGGGTTAGCTCTACTGGTGGCGCAGACTATGCAGCTGCTGCATAGTCTAGTGGCGGATATTCAGCTTACCAGTAGTGCTCACCTAGACTTTTCAATTAAATTTATTCAAAAGCATTAAAGAACATGATCATTAATTTAATATCCGGGTGTTCATCTGTTCCCAGGGTTCACCTTGGAACTGTGTCTTTTTTGTACTTGCAATAATTATGAGTGCAGCCGTGGCCATTACCGCCAATAAACCATTATAAAGCTTGAAATATGTGTCAGTTTTCTTCTTAAGTTGAATTTGATATTGCATCCTAGTAAGCAAGTTTTGTCTTTGATAATAGGATTTAACTCATTTAAGTTAAATCGGTTTATCAAAGCTAAATAGCGTTAATGTCTTTTTTGGGGTTTGTCGGGTTTTTAGCCACCTGTAGCTCTGCAGCAGGGATAAGCGTGAAATGTGACGTCACGGCCACCCTGCAGTCTCCCTGCATATCTTGACTTGTACGGTGTAGCATTCAGCACGTGGAAGTTCACCCACCCAACCCTCCCATAAAATGGTGTTAGCTTCAAATTAAGTGTATTTATTTTCCAAGTGTCTTTTGCTGCTTCGTTTTTGTGTATTTTTCAGGTAAAACCCTACCATGAGAGCCAACCCCTCCGTCGCGGCTGCTGATCCCTAGAGTGGGCGGATATTCAGCTTACCAGTAGTGCTCACCTAGACTTTTCAATTAAATTTATTCAAAAGCATTAAAGAACATGATCATTAATTTAATATCCGGGTGTTCATCTGTTCCCAGGGTTCACCTTGGAACTGTGTCTTTTTTGTACTTGCAATAATTATGAGTGCAGCCGTGGCCATTACCGCCAATAAACCATTATAAAGCTTGAAATATGTGTCAGTTTTCTTCTTAAGTTGAATTTGAGATTGCACCCTAGTAAGCAAGTTTTGTCTTTGATAATTCAATGTTAGGCAAAAGTAATACATTGTAAGTTGAACAACAAAATACTTTTATCTCAACTCTTTGATACATGTACATAACTATGTTGTTAGTGCACTAATATGGAAGCTGGGGTTTTAAATAATCTCTGAAAATTAAAAGACTGCATTTATCATTTTGTAAAATTAATCTTTATGTTAGGCGAAAAACATGCAATAACAGGATTAAAAGAAAGAAAGAGCGATATCACAAATAATAAAATTGAAAGTAAAAATCATAAATTTGGGTGTAAATTATTATAAAGAAAAAAAAACTGCAGTTTAATTAATTGAGAAGTTAATTATTTAATAGTTTTCTTGAAATAAGTACATTGTATTTTCTAAGTATTTTCTGTGTATTTAATTCATTGC